GGATTTTATAAGTGATAGGAAAAATACCCAACTCTTTATACCTCATTATATTTCATTTATACAAATACATCCTGTAAAAATTGAAGTGCATTTAAGTCTGGCTTCATAGGACCAAGCAATATATTTGTCCTCATAGCAAAAAAGAATCACATATATGATAACTGAGCTCCACATGATGATGATGAATTTCACCTAGTTTATTTTAAACAATATGACATATAATCTACCCTGTTTGAGCCATATTTTGAAGCTATATTTGGAACAGAAATTCCTAAGGATTAGAATCTTCAGTGAGTTTATAACATTAGTAAGTTTTCAAATTATGACAAACCCTGCGAATTATCTTTTTATTATAATAGTTTGATCATTCATTATTAACTTTAGATTCACAGGCAACATTAGAAATGCTCTTTGAAATAGGCTACCTGAGACTTAACTTCATATGCCCAGTCACCAAGTATTTCCATCTGAAAATCCTATTTTCATCAACCTCATAAATTTAGTCATTAAAGAACTTCAATTAAACATATGCAGTGTCTTGTGCAGGCTCTCAACATCATTCTCCATGGAGTACAATTAACAGGAAAATGGAGAGGAGTAAGTGTTGGCCAGGATGTGGGGGCACAGTCACTCTTATGTATTGCTAATGGAAGTGCAAATTAACTTTGATGTGCCACTTGGCCACGTCAAGTAAAATTGAAAATAGACTTTGATTATATCAAATTTTTATTTTAGGCATTTATTCATTTAGTAAGAAGTTATGTTTTATAACTATTTAAAATTAATTTTTCTTGATTTCTAATATGGTTGGACATCTTTTCACACATATATTGACTTTCTTTCCTTTTTCTTAATTTCCAGTTTATATTCTTTGTTCATTTTTTTTGTTGGGTTACTTGTATTTTCTTTCTTTCTTTTTTTTTTAAGTATGCCCAGTGTGGAGCCCAATGCGGGGCTTGAACTCACGACCCTGAGGTCAAGACCTGACCTGAGCTGAGCTCATGAGTTAGATGCTTAACCAACTAAGCCACCTAGGTGTCCCTGAGTTACTTGTATTTTCTTACTCAAATGTACAAATGCTTTCTATATTCAGATACTACTCCTTCGTATTTATATAAACTGCAAGTAACTTCACATTGTATTATTTATCTTACTAGACACGTCTCCGGAAGCAAGGGAAACAAAAGCAAAAAGTGAACTATTAGGACCTTATCAAGATAAAAAGTTTCTGGGGTACCTGGGCGGCTCAGTCGGTTAAGCATCTGCTTTTGGCTCAGGTCATGATCTTGGGGTCCTAGGATCGAGCCCTGCATCTGGCTCCCTGCTCAACGGAGAGCCCGCTTCTCCCTCTCCCTCTGCCAACATCCCCCCGATTGTGCTCTCTCGTGCACTCTCTCTCTCAAATAAATAAATAAAATATATATTTTTAAAAAGATAAAAAGTTTCTGCACAGCATAGGAAACAATCAACAAAACTAAAAGGCAACCCATGAAATGGGAGAAGATATTTTCAAATGACATATCAGAGAAGGGGCTAGTATCCAAAATCTATAAAGAACTTACCAAACTCAACACCCCCAAAATAAAAAATCCAGTTAAGAAATGGGTAGAAGACATAAACAGACATTTCTCCAAAGAAGACATACAAATGGCTAATAGACACATGAAAAAATGTTCAGCCTCATCAACAGGGAAATACGAACCAAAACCTCAATGAGATACCACCTCACACTGGACAGAATGGTAAAAATTAACAACTCAGGAAACAACAGATGTTGGCAAGGATGTGGAGAAAGGGAAACCCTCTTACACCATTAATGGGAATGCAAACTGGGGCAGCCACTCTGGAAAACAGTATGGAGGTTCCTCAAAAAGTTAAAAATAGAACTACCCTATGACCCAGGAATTGCACTGCTAGGTATTTATCCAAAGAATACAAAAATAGTGATTTGAAGGGACACATGCACCCCAGTGTTTATAGCAGCACTATCCACTATAACCAAAACATGAAAAAAGCCCACATATCCATCAACTGATGAATGGATAAAGAAGATGTGGTGTATATATGTATATACAATGGAATATTACTCAGCCATCAGAAAGAGTGAAATCTTGCCTTTGCAACAACATGGATGGAACTAGAGGGTATTATGCTGAATGAAATGTCAGTCAGAGAAAGAAAAGTGAGATATGAGTGAGCATATGTGGAATTTAAGAAACAAAACAGATGAACATAGGGGAAATGAAGGAAAAATAAAGTAAGATAAAGACAGAGAAGGAGGCAAACCATAAGAGACTCTTAAATATAGGGAACAAACTGAGGGTTGCTGGAGGGAAGGTGGGTGGGGGGATGGGGTAATTTGTCAGTGACTTTTTAATGTACTGCAACATAGTTTTAAAAATTTTACACATAACTGTTTAGTTTTATTCCTGATAACTTAAGATTTTATTATTATATTATAAGGGGGACAGGGAGGAGGAGAATCTTAAGCAGTCTCCATGCCCAACACAGAGCCTGATGTGGGGCTTTATCTCACAACACTGAGAATTATGACCTAAGCAGAAATCAAGAGTTGGATGCTTAACTGAATAAGGCACCCAGGTGCCCTGATTTTATTGCCATTTTAAATAAGATCTTTATTTGAGGTATTTTCTAATTGGCTCGTGGAGAGGGATACTATGAATTTTTTTTTCTGTTTATCTTGTTTCCCACAACTTTGCTATATTCTTTCAATGGTTCTAATGGAGCTTTGTGGCTCCTAAAAATGAAAAGCTTTTCACTCACTTCAGGTTCTTGGGGATATCTCAAATGACACCCTGGGTGATTGTAATGGGGGGAGGTAGATTATCCCTTTCATGGGACTGAGACAGGGAGGCAAGCCAAGGTCTTTAGAAGGACCTGTACCTACAGAAACGTCTACGGTGACCTCCCATTCTAGGTAAAGTTAAGCTATTGATATGGAAGGCAATTGGATATGTGTCAAATCTACCCATGACCTTTGCTAACCTAGACCGTCAAAGGCAGCTTGTTCACAGTTCTGCTCTTGGTGCTAACATCCTCCCTTATGACTGGAATTTTCCACAGTGGCTGAGATCTGCTGCTGGCTTTGGCACAAAGCTTCCTGGCATTTGTCAAGACCAGAAGCAGGCATTAATCTACTTGCAAAAGAATAATCTTGCCCAAAAACCTGGTACAGAAGGATGGAATAAAGAAGGGGAGAGCAGTAGTCAACTCACTGGATCAAATAAATATAACAATTCCACAGTGGAAGGATGCTACCTGAAGGGTCAGGAAACCCACCTTGGTCCTTGTATCTGTCTATAAGCAGATACCTGTGTCAATGCACTTATCAAAAATGTCAACAATGATATGTTGCATGCAGTGCTTAACATACCGTACCATTCTGGTAATCAGGAAAACCTCAGCGTTTTTCAGAAGTTTTAAAAGGCACCAAATACTAATTTTTCTGCCTAGTGCCAGCCCTCATTCTATTAGCATCTTTGTCATCTTATTACAGTACTTTCCTAGAAAGAGAGGCCTATAATTTACAACCAGGTACCACTGACATACTCATTACAAGACTTGCTGACTACTTTGGATTGCTAGAAAAGAAACTGCAAGTCCAACTTGATAGCTCCTACATAAATCTTAAATTACTAAATTTCTTTTTTAGTGTCAAATAAAAGACTGAAAATATCTAAACTAAAAAGACTATAAGAGCAACAAATTAAGAAAATGTTATAAAACATTTTTGGGGAAAGCAAAGAGGGTAGTTATTACAATGGGATCAAATACATTTGACAGTCTCCTCTGGAAACAACCAGTTAAAACCTAAATTATTCTCAGAGCTAATTTAAGTCCTCAAACCATTCAAGATATAGAATGATACATGGTGGTGAAAGCCACTGTGACCATAAAAATTGTTACATACTATAGTATGCAATCCCTTGTCCAATTCCTGTATAGTTTTTTCCATGACTCCACCAATCCAATTGGAAGCTGATAGTTTGTAATACACTACTACTAAAGTGTTCCTCACAGTCTGAAAACATGGTATTAGTTATCCAGGGGAAGATCAAGAGGCCTTTAAAGGGAAGGGAAAGAAGAGCTTGGTTTCCAGATTATAAATTTCTGTGATTTTTTTTTTTTTTAAAGCCTGGTCAGCACAGTTCCACATTTAAGAGTTGTTGATACTAGACACTCATGAAGGGGAAAAAAAAATTAAATTTCAGTCAGAGCTCTAAGATAGAAGTTACATTTTTTATATGACAGAAAATAAGGACATGAACACATTGTCTATTACTGAACCACGTACACACAGCCTTTGTGCACACGGCCTGGATGACGATCTCTGGGTTTTCTGTACACTTTTTCCTTTGGTTCCTCCTGAGTTCCAGCAAACTGGGATGGGCTCCATTCCTATTCCCACTTAGGCTTTGCTCATTTTACAGTCCTCTGAAGAATGTAGTACATGATGGAAAATGACTTTTCACAAGCCACATCGAGATTGCTCAGCTTCTGGTACGTTCATTCCAGGCCATGGCAGAGAACATACTCTCCCCGACACCAAGACAGTGTCTGGTTTGTCCATCTCCATCTGTTACTATGGGACTGATGGGTTTTTTAATCCTCTGATTTCCCAGTGTAATCAAACAGTTGATTACCAGAGAATTGGGGGCATCAGATCTAGTCTTGACCATGGAGGGAAGCATGTCCTTTACCTCTAATACATCTTTTTGTGGATGGATCTTTTTACCCTTCATAATAGCTTAAAACTCGGCCTGATTGGCATGCCTGGGTGGTTCAGTCGGTTAAGCACGGCTCTTGATTTCGGCTCAGGTCATGATCTCAGGGTCCTGAGATTGATCTCCGCATGGGGCTCCACACTCAGTGGGGAGTCTGCTTCTCTCCCTCTCCCTCTGCCCCTACCCTCGCTCGTGCATGTGTGCAATTTCTCTCTCTCTAAAATAAATAAATAAATCTTAAAAACAAAAACAAACCTCAGCCTGATTGGGAATTATAATATCTGCAGATGGTACTATTTTCTCCTTGTAAATGGGAAGGAGAGCCTCGAGATCTACATTGTCCACTACAGCAGCCACTAGTTTAAATGTAAAATAATTAAAATTAAATAAAAAAAATTCAGTGCCTAAATCACTGCAGGTATATTTGAGAGCTCAATAGTCACGTGTAGCTAGTGGCTGCTCTACAGGACAGCACCGATCTAGAACATGGAAATGGAAATATTTGTCATTGCAGAAAGCTGTTGGAGAGAACTGCTCTAAAACATACACAGAGCATTTCCTTTCCAGCAGCCATATTTGGCTGAGAAGAGATTCAACATCTTTTGACGAGGTGAAGATTTTGCAAAGTCATTTGCGAGAGTTTGGGGTGATAACCTGCAGGGACATGTCAGAGGAACAAAGGAGAGTTGTTCTTCGAGTAACAATAAAGATTTTATTTTGGGGGTGCCTGGGTGGCTCAGTCGTTAAGCGTCTGCCTTCAGCTCAGGTCATGATCCCAGGGTGCTGGGTTCGAGCCCCGCATGGGTCTCCCTGCTCAGCGGGAAGCCTGCTTCTCCCTCTCCCACTCCTCCTGTTTGTGTTCCCTCTCTGTCAAATAAATAAATAAAATCTTTATAAAAAAAGATTTTATTTTGGTTACTGATATATATTCACTGTGGTCAGAACCTGACTGGCATATCGGGCATTTTTAGAGGCTATGTGGAGAGAAGGTAAGGAAGCAAAGAGAGACATGGTCATTGGCAGCAGATAGGGAAGAAAGCCAGGATGTCTAAAGAGGAGATGAGTAAGTGCACTATGGTGAGTGAAATATAACCCTCTTCTCCATCTGCCCCCAAAAATCCTGTATAAAATACTCCCAATACCTTGGTAGTTGAAAATGTTGTTTTTCTGAGTCTGCTCTAACATGAGTATGGTGCAGGTGTAATGTGTCCAATTATGTTCAGCTTCAACATTTCATTCCCTTGCGACTGGGTATCCTCTTTCTCCAAGGGCAATCTGTGCACGTCTTTTCCTTTTGACACTAAAGACTTTGGCTGGATCAGTACAAGGATCAATCCCCTCCCAGGTGTGCCAGTGTTGGACATGTTCCCAGAGTCTTCCAACATGCAATTAATTTGAAATAAACTTGTTTTTTTCTTCTCGTTTAACAAATATTTATGTGCACATGATATGTCTGATACATCCCAAACCCTGTTCTAGGAGCTGGCTATATGACAGTTGAACAAACCATATCCCTGTCACCAAATAGATTAAATCTCTTCTATTATGTCCTATCATCTACCCGACAACAGTTAAAGACATAACAAGTACTAAGTATGTTGCTTTACCTGAGCTGCATTTGATCATTTCTAGTGCCAAGCATGACAGCCCCAGAACCTAGCAAAAATACCTGTGGGCTGGTTAGATGAAAGGATAGATGGCCACGTAACTGGTGTCCGATACCCAGTAGGCTTTTGATCTATGTTTGTTGTTAAAGGCTACTCCAGAAGTAGGATGAAATTAAGTTCCTCTAAATTAGAATTGGCTTACTGACCGTCTTAATTTAGGTCTCAATGACAGAAATCATTCTATTGTAATAACTGAGGTATTGATATGCATTGTAAAAATGTCATTTTAATAGACACAGAGTAATAGTGTAAAAATGAAAACTTTGGAGGTGGGGGAGTATAGCAAAATAGAGACTATAGTAAAATAGGGACTGAGTAGGAGGAGTATAGTAAAAAAGACACATATTAATAGTGTAAAAATAACAATTTTTGTGTTGGAGGAGTTAGTAAAATAGGGCTTTTGGTGGGAGAATAAATAGGTTCAAACTTTCTGAATGGGAATTTGGAAATATTTTTCAGTAATTCAAAGACATTTGTACCATATGACCTAATAATTCCACTCCTAGTGACCCATTTTAAAGAAATACCTGTGAATGCAAGTGAAGGTCTATCCATTTACTTAATGTAAGAGAGAATTATAAAGAACTTAAGCATCAATAATAAAGAAATGGCTGTTGGGGCACCTGGGTGGCTCAGTCAGTTAAGCAACTACCTTCAGCTCAGCTCATGATCTCAGGGTCCTGGGATCTAGGCCTGTGTCATCGGGCTCCCTGCTCAGCAGGGAGTCTGCTTCTCCCTCTCCCTCTCCCCGCCCTTCCCTCCAACCTGCTCATGCTCTCTCTCTAACTCAAATAAATAAAACAAAATAAAAGAAATAGCTATATAAATTTTTATTCACTTATATTGCACCCACACACAAACACACGAATACTAAATTGAGATTATGAATTATCTTTATTGTCTTCCTCAAAACTTTTATATTTTCCTATTTTGAACAATAAATAACATATTACGGTGATAATTTCTAAGAGTGTTAATATATAAGAGATATACAGGAATAGGAAGAGATATGAGTTCAGTTTTAAATAACTATGATATCAGCTAGATTAACAAACTGATACTTTGTGCAGGTTTAATTTAAGGTAATTATTGGGGTAATATTTTTAATTCCTTCCTGTTTGAATTATGGGTCATATGGGAGAGAGTGAATATTCTTCAACAAGAAGAGAGTCAGTTGGTAATTAACTCTGTTTTTAAGGATGCTTTGGTCCTCTTGTTACTGAACTACCAGAACATTTAGATAGAATAAAAGAAAATCTAAAAGAAACCGCTAAGGTAAGTAAAGCATAATACTTGGAAAAATTGTAACTTTATTGTCCTCTATTAAAAATGTGAAACATTCTTAAATTTTTACATCTTTTATGAGGCCTTTTTCTGCAGTAGGAAATTTCTGTAGAAGAATTACATTATCTTCATATGAACCAAATTGTGTTTCTTCTGTTTTCTGAGATTTTTACCACAAACATATCTATGGATGTTCTTTTTTTTTTTTTTT